AATTACAAAGCATTAAGAAGTGTTGTCTCTTAAAGCAAATACTTACAACTTAAAATTGAAGGGTGACATTTATAGCACATACCAAATAATTGGTCAGAGATACACAAGGCACAGAAATATCAAATGGGAGAGTGAAGGAAGGTTTAAAATAGCTTAGGAAGAGATCACAAAATATCTTTTGAAAGATCATAGGCACACACAAGTCAACACTAGAGCTAAAACCAGGTATTCCATTACCAAAGAGTGATTATGAAAGACCATTTAAAGTAGGAGTGTCCAATCTTTTGGCTTCCCTGGGCCGCATTAGAAGAAGAAGAATTGTCTTGGTCCACACATAAAATACGCTAATGAAAGCTGATGAGCTTTTTTAAAAATTGCATGTTTTAAGAAAGTTTACAGATTTGTGTTGAGCCACATTCAAAGCTGTCCTAGGCCTCATGGACGAGCTTGATCTGTAGTCTAGGTTTCCTGAATGCTTGGAAAAGTTTGCATTGAAGCAATGAGAGTCATGCTGATACTCTTCAAGAGCAGAAGAATGCATTGAACTGAGTTGTTAATGAGAAACACTGCATTCTCTCTTATGTAAATTCATTTGTGTTTAGCTGTTTTCAAAGATGTGGATTTTGTATTTATGTTCAGTTTGTTGCAAACATGTAAAACATGTTATTAAGCATGTTAGCCTCATATCCTAACAAATTAGCCTAAAAGGTTTCAGACAAATGAAAGTGTTAATGAAAATTAGGTATTTGTATACTAAAAATACACTGTTTTTTAAAAATTATTCCAAAGTTTTATTGCCTTTGTGTTTACAAAAGGTGGTTTGAGTTATTTTATAAGATTATTTAAAATAACTTAAATTTGTCTTTACATAGTGTTACTTAGCTTTATGAATATAGCATAAAATGAGCTGTTCATCATTTTCTTTGACTGTTACATCAATGGAAGCATAAGGCCTACCTTCCCAGCATTATCAAGTTTTTTTTTTGTTTGTTTAGCATTATCAGTTTTGAGGCCAATAAAGATGATTGGCCTAGAAGTTAAATGCAAATGCACGTGTACATGCTCCTGTTACCTGTATTGAAGAATGCTGTCATTAACTGGCATCCAGGCAACAAGTTTATGTTGATGCCATTTTGGTGCCAAGTCCTGTTTTCTACAAGGGCTACAGAGAAAAGTACAACAGGCCGGGCACAGTGGCTCATGCCTGTAATCCCAGCACTTTGGGAGGCCGAGATGAGCAGATAGTTGAGGCGAGGAGTTCAAGACCACCCTGGCCAACATGGCACAATCCCATCTCTACTAAAAATACAAAAAATTTGCTGGGTGTGGTGGCATGCATCTGTAATCCCAGCTGAGGCAGGAGAATCACTTGAACCTGGGAGGCAGAGATTGCAGTGAGCCAAGATCGCGCCACTGCACTCCAGCCTGGGTGACAGAGAATGACTATATCTCAGAAAAAAAAAAAAAAGTACAACACAGTTCCTCTCCTGAGGAAGCTCATGTTCCTAGTACAAAGGAGGGATAATAAATGTTATGTAATAGAGGATACTGAGTAATATGCTAGATTTGGAGTAAGGGCACTCCAAACCAAAGGGAAGGGGCACCCAACCAACACTTTAAATATAAAACTTCTACCTTTTATAATATTTCAGTGATAAAACTATAAAAACTACCTCTCAGAATAGCATTTTATGTTTGTATTATGAAACTCAGTCCGCTATTAGTATTATTTATGTAGATTGAGGCATGTGACATAAGAAATATATAAATAACTTGCAACATATCTATGGAAGGACGTTTGTATGTGTGTCTGGTTGAGTGAGTGGAGCAATAAAGTGTAAATACAGCATGCTGAAGACCTGCTGGATGAAAGATTTTGCTTCTGTCCTTGATTGTATCCTTATTCAACTCAGTTCCCCACGTTGTGCTATATTTTTTCTTTTTTGCTTTGTTTTTCTTTTGTTTTTAAAGTTAAAAGGAACCTTGGAGGTTCTCCAGTCTATTTTTGCATAAACAGCAAGTAGTGCCAGAATCACACATAGAACTTTTACAAGTTGTTAGATATGCCCAGGCTTCCGTTCAGTAGATGTGGCTTGGAGCCCAGGTATCTGTTTCGTTTAGTTTTTTAACTTTAAAAGTGATTCCGATGAGCAGTCTGTTGAGGACTAACACCTTTCTTAGAAGGTTTAATAAAACCAAACCTTTTCATAGAGAAATTCTGGCCTTCAGAGATGTCACTTGCCCAGGAGTCCCATAAATACTAAGTAAGATCAACTGATTTCCACACTACTCACCTATAATTCCCCAAAACTGCAAAAGAAGTCTATTGTTGGGGTAAATAAACTTATTAAATAGAAATTAAGGATGTTTTTGCTGTTTTTTGTTGATGATGATGTGTATTTGTTTTTGATTTTGGAGTATTTTCCCTTTTGCTTGTCTTGATGAGCAACACTGAAGGAGTTTTAAGCCCTTCTGTTAATTTTTCATGTCTCGTAGATTTGGTAGCATCAAATAAAGTTGTAAACACCTTGCACTTTCTTCTCCAACTTGTTTCTGTTAAAAGCAGAAGAAAATTTACAGAAATAGCAAAGAATGAAGATAATTTCAGGGGGATATTAATACTAGTTTAATTCATGCAGTAAGTAGAAACAGTGTATTTCATTATTAATATTAATCAGGATGCCCCCAAATTGTGTGTGAAAGAACCTTTAAGAGGGATGCGATCTGGAGAATACTGCTAATAGACTCTAATTGATTGCCGCATAAAATACAATAGCTGACAGCAGTGGGTTTTTTTGTTTGTTTGTTCGTTTGTTTTTTTAAATAAAGACCAGGTCTCACTCCCATTGCCCAGACTAGATAGCAGAGGCTTGATCACGGCTTACTGCAGCCACGACTTCGTGGCTCAGGTGATTCTCCCACCTCAGCTTCCTAAGTAGCTGGTACCCCAGGCGCAGGCCACCACACCTGGCTAATTTTTTGTATTTTTAGTAGAGACAGAGTTTTCCCATGTTGCCCAGGCTGGTCTTTGAAATCCTGGGCTCAAGCAATCACCTGCCTCAGCCTCACAAAATGCTGGGATTATAGGCATGAGCCACCACATCCATCTGACAGCAGAATTTTCACAAGGAAAGCTTTTATCGTTTTATTCGAGTTTCTTTATGCTTGTCTATGACTCCAGAACAGCAAAGCTGAAAATAATAGGCAGTCTGCTGGATGCAAGCACCCTCCTTTAAAAGTGTATACCCTTACACAAATAAAAATATCTTAGTCCTTCTGAGTTCATCATGGTTAATCAACACATTTTTGAACTGTACTTAAATCAGGTATAAGATCCACACTTTAGAGAGCTATTATCCCTAGCTCTTTTGAGCATTTATAGTAGTGTAAAAAGACTCATAGGCAAGTCTGTTTTCAGTAAGCTTGCTATTACTGTATATATGATCTTGAAAATCTTAAATAGATCGTTTCTAGTTTTGTGCTAAAATAAAGCAAACAATGCTGTTCTGATAGTCTTTGAATATTTCTCCTGATTTACATATATCTGAGTTTCTCTGAGGATGTGTACCTAAAGGGGAATTACTGGGTCATGTAGTGTTTGTCTCTTCAACTTTTCTAAATAATACCAAATTACTTTCCAGTGTGGTTGTATCAATTTATTATCCACCAGAAATGTTAAGTAAATGTTCTCATTACTCTTTGCCAACATTTGGTATTGTCTAACTTTTAAATTTTTGCATTATGGTGAGTGTAAAGGGTTATGTTGCTTTATTTTACATTTTCCTGATAATGAAGTTGAGCATCTTTTCTTGAATTTCCTAGGCATTCAAGTTCCTTCTTTGAAATAATGTCTTCTGTACATTTTTCTATTGGACAGTTTGTCTTTTTTGACTTATAGAAGTTCTTTAAATATTCTGATTACCACTTTGAATATAATTGTTTTGCTTTTTGTAACTTGACACGTCTTCTGCTTGGTGTTACAGATACCTTTCTGTGTTTTCCTCTAATAGTTTTAAAGACTTAAATACCTGCACAAAAGTTCAGTCTGTCTTTAACTGGCTTTGTTTTAAATGTAAGTTTTTAAAAATTTGGCAGGACATGTCCTGCTGGCAGTGTTCTTTTTCTTCAGGATATGGAATCTTCAGGATTTATGTTACTAGCTTGTCAAATACTATTAACAGTGCTCTTGGGGCTTTGATTACAGGTACTTTTAAATCTATATAAATAATTGAAACAACAGCTTTCAAATAATTTTCCATGCATATTTTATACATCCTTTATTTCTAAATACTGTAAGGTGGGTTGTTTTTACTATGAAAGTGTCCTTTTAAATTTTAATAATCTTTAATTGAAACAAATAGCTCATTGCCTTATATATTGAATTACAGAAGGGAAGTATGTAGTTACAAAACTCAGTTATTAAGTATAAAAGTCTTTTCTCATCATGTCTTTAGCCCATTCTGGTTGTAACCACCTTGGTACCTATCCTGATTTGTGTTAAGACCAGTGTCATATTTAGGTAGGTTGTTATTGTGTTAAGACCAGTGTCATATTTAGGTAGGTTGTTATTGTGGCCATAAACATTTTTCACCTTATTTTATGAGATATAAATTAAATTCTGTAGAATAATATTGTTCCTTTATCCTAATGGAAGCTTACTTGAATATGTGGTTAATAAATAATTGTCTTTGAGATAGCGTTGCTAGTGGACAGATTGGTACTTTTCAAATCAGATATGGGTATGATTTACCAGGTTTTATGGCTTCAGGTTTATCTGACTTTTGTTGTTCAGCTTTCTTACCTACGAAGTAGGGTGAGAAATGTCTAAATCATTATTCTAGTCACTTGAATGTTTACTGAGCATCCTCTGTGTGCGCCAATGTAAGGGTTAAATGAGATTACTTATGTTAGGCGCCTGGCACATGAGAGATGTTCTTTTGATGTTTGTTCTAATTTTCTCTATTCAAGTAATTTTTCAGGCTTATTGTCTTTTTATTTAGAATCTACATCAGGAGACAAATCCGTATCACATTCTTGCACAACTCCTTCCACATCTTCTGCCTCTGGACTGAACCCCACATCTGCACCTCCAACATCTGCTTCAGCGGTCCCTGTTTCTCCTGTTCCACAGTCACCGATACCTCCCTTACTTCAGGACCCAAATCTTCTTAGACAATTGCTTCCTGCTTTGCAAGCCACGCTGCAGCTTAATAATTCTAATGTGGACATATCTAAAATAAATGAAGGTAAATCTTCGTAAGTTTTTAAAAATTTATTTGCATTGTGCAAAGTTATGTAAGTAGTAAAATCCTCAGTTTAGGAATGGTCTTTGTTTTCTTTTGAAATTTATAGTTGAATATTGTTTTTTTTTGGTTTGAGTTTGGAAATTTATATCCATTGTAGTTTAAGACCATTGGTAGTATAATTGAGTTAGTGGTGCTTGGATCTTGTGTATATTTTTCAATACTTGTTAGGCGTCTGGTAGTTACTGGAGATAAGCCATTCTATGTATGTAATGTTCATGGTGAAATTTTACATCAAAACAGTAGAGCATTTGTTGAAATTGGTATAAAAACTTCTGGTATGTTTCTAAAAAATCTGTATAAATAATTACTCAGAATATTTAAAATATGCTAATTACTAGAAAAGTAGGAATTCGGGTAGCTACTTAAAACACTTTTAAAAAATTCTGAGAAGGGAGGAGATGGGTACTAGATAAAATACTGCCATTTTTTTCTGGTGAATTGCATTATTTAATTCCAGCCTTGCTTTTTCAGTAATGCTATTTATGTTTCAGAATATTTAGGCAGCCACTTTGAAAAAGTGTGAATAAAAACAGATGCAGTTTAATTTGCAAACTATTCAGAGTCACATGTTAATTCCTAAGAGCATTGCAAAATTTTCTGTTGAGAATGATCAATTTTTAGGCCAAGGCAGGTGGATCACCTGAGGTCAGGAGTTTGAGACCAGCCTGACCAAGATGGTGAAACGCTGTCTCTACTAAAAATACAAAAGTTAACCAGGCGTGATGGCACATGCCTGTAAATCCCAGCTACTCAGGAGGCTGAGGTACGAGAATCGCTTGAACCCAGGAGACGCAGGTTGCAGTGAGCTGAGATGGTGCTTCTGCACTCTAACCTAGCTGACAGAGCAAGACTCCATCTCAAAATAAATAAATAAAAATAAAATGATCAATTTTTTTGTGTACATTTTCACATAATATACTTAAAAGTAGTGTTAAGTGGTTAAGTTCTTATCCTAAAAATAAAGCTATCTCAGGCTAGTTGGTCATTAGTCTGTTCTTACTGTCCTTAATTTCTTTGTATTTTTATTTTATTCTCTAACCACACAGTTCTCTTGTATGGTAGGTAAATGTTTCATTTAGGCAAAGTGGGGCTTTTAGATAGTTTGAGGAGGCCAGATGCCATGGCTCATGCCTGTTATCCCAGCACTTGCTGAGACTGGTGGACCACTTAAGCCCAGGTGTTTGAGACCAGCCTGGGCAACATGGTGAAACCCCATCTCTACTAAAAATACAAAAACATAGCCAGGCGTGGTGGTGAACGCCTGTAGTTGCAGCTACTTGGGAGGCTGAGGTGGGAGAATAACTTAAGCCTGGAAGGTGAAGGCTGTGGTGAGCTGTGATTGCACAACCCTGTCTCCAGAATAAATGCTTGAAGAAATAATAGTTAATGTCAATAATAAAATATCTAACACATCAAAAATACATGGTATTTCTAAATACGTGGGGTTTTTTTTGTTTTTTGTTTTTTTTTTTTTGAGATGGAGTTTCTGCTCTTGTTGCCCAGGCTGGAGTACAATGGCACAATCTTCGCTCACTGCAACCTCCGCCTCCCTGCAACCTCCGCCTCCTAGGTTCAAGCTATTCTCCTGCCCTAGCCTCCCTAGTGGCTGGGATTACAGGCACCTGCCACGATGCCCAGCTAATTTTTTGCATTTTTGATAGAGACAGCGTTTCACTATGTTGGGCAGGCTGCTCTCGAACTCCTCACCTTAGGTGATCCACCCGCCTCGGCCTCCCAAAGTGCTGGGTGTGAGCTAACCATGTCCAGCCAATACTCCCTTTTTTTAATCCATTTTTAGATTATTAGGGTGGATCTTGATGTAGGATTTGAATGGCCAGCTTGTCTAAAAAGGCAGTCATATGAAATAGCAATCGTTTATCCAGTTAATTTCATATAACATACTGAACACTCACAAATAGGTTTCTGACGTAATTGGAAGTTCCTGTGAACACTCATTAAATTTTGTAGAGAGACTTTGTTCAGGTGATCATCTTAATTTATTAGTGTAAAAGAAATTCTGTTGGTTTACCTTTATTGTAAACCCATTAAGTTTCTTTGTCTCTGCCTCAGATTGTTTCAAATCTTGGGACCCATTGTATTACTCCTGGTAGGCTTTTATTTTGAGAGTTCTAGGTTGAAATATTCCAGTTTCTTGTGGGTTCTCTTCCTTGTCAAGTTGTTACTAATGCCACATAAGCCTCTTGTTTTTATACGAATGTATGAAATAATGTGTTTTTAGTTCTTACAGCAGCTGTGACACAAGCCTCTCTGCAGTCTATAATTCATAAGTTTCTTACTGCTGGACCATCTGCTTTCAACATAACGTCTCTGATTTCTCAAGCTGCTCAGCTCTCTACACAAGGTATTCTTACTCATCTTAGATATCTCTACAGTGGTATCTTGATTTTGTTTTGGAATTAATAGCCCTTTTTGTATGTAGTTTTTTTCTTCTTTTTTTTTGTTTGTTTTTTAAGAGATTAGCTACAATTTTTTTTGGTAACACTGGCATATACAGTAGTATTTTTATTTCCTTTCTTTTTAGATGAAGCAAGTTTTGACATTTGTCTTAAGGTATTGCCATCAAATCTGTAATTATTTAATACAGCATTTAATTCAGACTTTGTTAATGAGTTTTTTTATGCCAAAGCTGAAAGTAAACTATGATATGCCATATATCTTTGTGAACATTGCATGTATTTGAAGAGTTGAAGTTTGGTTCAGATTGACGTTAGATGTTTTTTGACTGGATAATATGGAAATGCTCATTTTCTGCCTTGAATTAGATATCCCTCTTCATGAAGGTATCCAAATGGAGAGAGATACACGTAGGAGCAAATGGGAAGTGAAAGGGTCACTTTGTCAGAAAGCTGATAAACAGCAGGAATGCCTTGTCTGGAATGGAAGTATAATGGTGCAAAGACTCTTGCAACCCTCTGGCTAGCCTCATGAGCAGGAGACTGCGTGGGATACCTGGGCCTAAATGTAGAATAAGAAAGAAGAAATAAGGATGGTGAGGAGGCCTTCCATGTGAGAATAGGTTCAGGCCTAGCTTCCTGTTCCAGCCACATAAAGGAGAGTGGGCCACACTGGGTGTGCTTACCTCTGAACACACAGCTCACTTAGTCAGTGTGGCCCAGTGAGAAGGTCAGATTCTGATTTATTCCGATAAGTGTTCTCTGGGTAATATGGGGGTGGGGGGTTTAGAGTGATACAAAGATTGTTACCACATATATTACAAAGGACTTAGTTTTTTTGTTTTGTTTTGTTTTTCTTTAAAATTAATTGCTTCCCTCTTTTACAGCCCAGCCATCTAATCAGTCTCCGATGTCTTTAACGTCTGATGCGTCATCCCCAAGATCATATGTTTCTCCAAGAATAAGCACACCTCAAACTAACACAGTCCCTATCAAACCCTTGATCAGTACTCCTCCTGTTTCATCACAGCCAAAGGTATGTCACCTTTGAGGGATATTTGGGAAAGAAACTACTTTTGGAAAATCAATAACATTTTAGAATCTGTTACAGAAAAAGCTCTATGAGAATGAGGTGTAGTGGTGGAATGGATGACAGGTATGATAGTAGATGCAGCCTAGAATTTCTCAGTTCACTGAGGGATAGAGGGGGGCTTTGAATCTGTGCTGCTTTAATACACCTTCTGAGTCTGTTCCCTGATGGTTTTGGGATTTGTCACATGGAGAGTGAGATAAAGAGGGTATACTGTGAGTCTTAATATTTGTAGAATTTTCAGACTCCAAAAGACATGAGTGAACATGTTTTCCAGCAACTTTGCCATATTTGTATTTCAAAAATGAGGCAGTTTTTGTGCTAAGAACTTAATGTATGTTCAACTTTCACATCATGAGCATCACTTGCTTCATTTAATAGATAAGAAAATCAGACTCTCAGTTAAGTCTAGTTTTTGTGGTAGAGTCAGAATTTGAAACCTAGGTGTTTGTGAATACAGGGACCCATTTTACTAAGCTTATATTGCCTGTATTTGTCCCAGCAGAATCTCACATGGTTGGCTCCATAGGTGCAGTTAGAAAATTTCTGGGCTAAATGGTAAATATAGGGGGAATTTCTTTTGAGTAGTTTTGAAACAGTGGGCTGTTTCAAACTTTTTAATGCCAAATAATTATTTGTAAGATCTTAAGCAGCAGCCCAAAAATAAAAATGCATTGAAATACAACTTGAAAGAGGTGGTTGGTCAGCTTTTAAGTCTTCCCGTTTGTTCATCCCTTCCCTACCTTGGCCATTGATCAATGCATGTTTTAGGGCCAATTTAGATTGATTTTTAAAATTCCAAGTTACAGTTGTTAGTTTGTCATGCAGTTCCTTATCATTCACCAGTATTTTAAGGAGGAAAGAATTAAAATGTGAGTTTCAGCAAAAGATACGTTATTTTTGGAGCTTAGAACTTTTCTTCAGGGTGATATTTTAAGAGTATAGTAAATAGTGGTTAAAAGTGAAATAAGTGGCAGTATTGGTTTTATAGTCACTTGTAAACTGAGCATTTCAACTCCTTTAAGCAGGCTGGGCGCAGTGGCGCACACCCATGATTACAGCACTTAGGAGGCCAGGGCAGGAGGATTCAGTTAGGCCCTGGGCAATACAGCAAGACCCCATCTCTACAAAAATAATTTGAAAATTTACTGGGGGAGGCCGAGGCAGGCAGATCACTTGAGGCCAGGAGTTTGAAAAAAGCCTGGCCAACAGGCAAAACCCAGTTTCTACTAAAATTACCAAAATTAGTGGCACAGACCTATAATCCCAGCTACTCAGGAGGCTGAGGCATGAGAATCACTTGACCTGGAAAGTGGAGGTGCAGTTGAGCCAAGATCATGCCACTGCACTCCAGCCTGGGCGAGAGAGCAAAATTCTGTCTTTAAAAAACAACAACAAAAAAAACTTATTTGGGCATGGCAATTTGTACTACTCAGGAGGCTGGGGTGGGGGAATCACCTGAGCCTGGGAATTCAAGGTTGGAGTGAGCCAAGATCACGTCACTCTGCACTCCAGACTAGGCAACCAGACTAAGACCCTGTCTCGAAGAAAAAAAAAAAAGTCCTTTAAACAGATAGCTATAAGTTTTTTGTGTTCCGAAAACTTCTTCAAGTTGTTTTTAAAATAATTGAACATTTGAGCTTTTAGTGCTTACTAAAATGTTCTTTATAAGACTTGACTAGAATTGATAGGTAATATTCAGAAGTTAAGCAGGACGTTCCAGATTTGTTAGGGAGAATTATTAATCATATCCCCTCACCCCACCAAAAGAAAAACAGCAGTGAGGTGTGGCTTATCACAAAGGACTCCATCTGCCTTTGTGCCTCAATTTAGAGCTTATATTTTAAACTGCTTATTTTCTTTCTGTGGCTTCTGAATATAATATGTATCCTGATTGGCAGTCATGGACTTCAGTCTACCTCTGTAGAGTAACATCTCTTTGAAAAACACTCATGATGAACTTTATATGGGCCATAACTCATTTTCTCATAGCCGAATCACATTGTTTCTCCATGTCATTAAAATCTAAGCATCCATATGTGTATGATGTGGTAGCATACATATTTACTTTTATTGATATAAAAGTAACAAATCAGAAGAGATAATAATGTATTGGAAAGAAAACTGAGTTGTAAAGGAGGAGAGCTAGTTTCTTACACTGGTTTGATAGGGAAGTAATTTTATGACCTTGGGCCATTTTTACAAAGAAATGAGATATCGAAGTTTTAGAACTTGACAGTCTTCTTTAAAACACCATATTTTACATGTTCTAAGACGATTACCTAGATTTTGGGGGGAGAGATGTGGATTAGATTTGGAGACCATCTCACCAGATTTTGACATTTCAGGTTAGTACTCCAGTAGTTAAGCAAGGACCAGTGTCACAGTCAGCCACACAGCAGCCTGTAACTGCTGACAAGCAGCAAGGTCATGAACCTGTCTCTCCTCGAAGTCTTCAGCGCTCAAGGTACGTCGATATTGTGTATTGAGACCACATTGTTTTGTTTAATGATAGTATACTGGTATATTGCATTGTTTGAAGATGTATCTGTAAAATATAACAACTTTAAACTCCATGAATACTCTAAAGTTAAAGTAGGCTTATATGTTGTAAAATTTACAAAGACAAACCTGTATACAAGAGGTAGGTTATTGTCTCTAGTAGTAAAGCCCGGGTTATTTTGAAGAAAGTGGCTCTTTAAAATTTTACACAGTGGAATATGATGGGGTAAAGATTTGTGATACTTGTACCAGAAAGGCACATGATTTTACAATATTTGTTGGAATTACATTGCTTTGTAACCTCCTCATAGCAGTTTTGGTTTGAGTATATTGATGAAAGCCAAAGTCTCCTATCTAAAACTTGGGCCGATGTTTCCCGTGTATGTCAGGCTTTCCCAGTAGCTTAACTGTGACCCTATACAGATGACTTTTAGATAGTTCTATACTGCTGTATTGTGTTAGCACTTTTCTGTGTTCATTAACAACACAACTTTAAATGACATTTGTTGAATGAATGGTTTTCATTTGATTGATTTTCCTATTTTTTATTTCATGCTATGAGGTAGCAAAATAATTGAACTGTTGTTTTTATTGTTGTTTTCTAAACAAGCATTTCAGAACTTATACCTCCAAATGAGAGTTGTTCCCTTCAAACTAATCACCTTGGGAAGCTGTCTACTTACTCCAGCAATGTTGCCATTGCTCAGAACATTTTTGGGAAATTCTTCTTTTAAATTGTTTTTAGAGGCTGCAGTATTATTTTAAATATCCTCAGTGATGAAAACTCTTCATCCTTTGGGAGATTTAGTTTTTGGAAATAACTGAAATTCATTCAGAGCCAAGTCTGGTGAAGCAGGTAGGAGATCAACTTGGGTGATTAAATTTTTTGGTTCTCGCCACCATATCCCCAACCCTGGCCCAAACCATTCAGTTTTAAAAGAAGATAAACAATCTCAGAGTGTTATTTTTTTGGTTTTGTTTTGCCACTATGCTTGCTCAGTGCTATCCAACAAAATGTTTGTATTTTGCTTCACATTATTTCACCCTCTGATTCAGCAGTTCTGACGTTGAACAAAGGCAATATATATTTTCCCCTTACCTAGATGTATATGAGACAGTCTTCAGATGTGCATTATATCTATAGCTGTTAAAATGTGACCATTTTTTAGTTATATTCTTATTAGTGTTTGTGGTACACAAAGTTAACAGGTTCTGCTCTCAGATTTGGAGAGTACAGTTTACATTAGACTCTTGACAGTCGTGTTAAAAAGGCTTTTTCCCCCTAAAGTGTTTTGAGGAATAATATACTTTGGATTGTTAATTCTCTTTATTTGATGTTAAAATAACAAATTTTTCTTAGGAATTTGGATATCTTTAAGTTAATAAAAGGTACTAACATGCAGTTTATAGGATAAGGATACCCAGAAACTACTTTTAAACATATTACACATTCAATTCTGTTTTCTAGTAGCCAGAGAAGTCCTTCACCTGGTCCCAATCATACTTCTAATAGTAGTAATGCATCAAATGCAACAGTCGTACCACAGAATTCTTCTGCCCGATCCACGTGTTCATTAACGCCTGCACTAGCAGCACACTTCAGTGAAAATCTCATAAAACACGTTCAAGGATGGCCTGCAGATCATGCAGAGAAGCAGGTATGTTAACGTACAGCCTAGATTTTACCTTTGGGTGATTAGCAAAACAGAACTTAATCAACTTCTAGAAAATCTAATGTAGACCACTGAATTCAAGCAATACTTAAAATAACAAATCTCTAACTTTGTAGTCATTTAAAAAATATTTGACATATAAGGTAACTTTTTTGGTTTTACAAAATATTTTAACATAATTATAGCCCCTGTTGTCAGGTACTCAGCAGTTAGCTCAGTGCTTATTGCCTTATATTTATTTTCTCTACTTCTTAAAACAGCTAAGCAGTGTAGATAGAGTTTTCTCATTTTGCCATTGAAGTCCTTAAGACCAAATAGTCCATAAAACGTTGATCCCAAGGTCACCCCATTAACACAGTGATGTGGCTCAAAGCCAGTGTACTTTTTCCACTCAGCTGCTCTGATAGTTTCGGAATCCATTAGCACCGTTAATCTACTGGCCAAGTGCAGTGGCTCATACCTGTAATCCCAACACTTTGGGAGGCCGAGGCAAGTGGATCACTTGTGGCCAGCCAGGAGTTGGAGACCAGCTTGGCCAACATTGGTGAAACTCCATCTCTAACCATAAGTACAAAAATTAGCCAGGCGTGGTGGCATGTACCTGTAATTCCAGCTACTCGGGAGCCTGAGGCACCAGGATTACTACTTGACCCCAGGAGACAGAAGTTGCAGTGAGCCGAGATTGTGCCACTGCACTCCAGCCTGGGTGACAGAGTAAGACTCTGTCCCCCCCCCGCCAAAAAAAAATGTTTTATTTTGCTTTGGGGTGAGACACCTTAGGACATTCCAGTTACTGTTGATTTGCCTCTTTTTAAATCAGATAACTGACCATCTGGGGTGTTCGAAAGTTTACAGAGAATATGTCGTGTGTCTTACCATAGAGAGGAGTATAGTGAGGCTCTTGAATCAATACCTAATTCCTGAACTTGCAGAAATGACAGTCTCTTTGGCTGACCCAGCATCTTTTATTAACCACAAATTATGCGTCATTCTTTCTTAGTGCTGTATTAGCTTCAGATTGGAAATCCTATATTCTCCAACTTGGAAGAGAAATACTAAAATAAGTACCTTCCACCCTTATAGACAGTTTCTTAAAAGAAATTAATTTTCCCCATTAGATTCACCAGCATTTTTGTGTATTTAAGGGAGAAGGATTATTCTCTAATCTTAAATATAAAATTTTACTCAGAAATGTAATGTTTTATTTTGTGTATGTTAATGTTTATATTTTATGTTTTGTTCATTAATTACAGGCATCAAGATTACGCGAAGAAGCGCATAACATGGGAACTATTCACATGTCAGAAATTTGTACTGAATTAAAAAATTTAAGATCTTTAGTCCGAGTATGTGAAATTCAAGCAACTTTGCGAGAGCAAAGGTAAGTCTTTCACTGAAATACATTTTTATGTTGCTCAGGATTATGATTCGTAAATTGAACTAAAGAATGTAAATGACATTTTATTTATGAAATGTAAAGTTCTCTTTGATACATTGATCACATTCTATCATTGCATTTTCATAAGTTATTAATATTCCTCGTGATGGATAAAGCCTGTCGATTTTCTCTTAACCCATGATGAATGCTTCATTAGACTTTTCTCATAACTGCATAAGCTGCAATAATATATTAAAAAAATGAAATATTGACCACAACTGATTATAAATGTTCTCTCTTGCTGAGGGTGTTTCCATTGAAATTTCTGATTATTTGTCCTTGCATCACCAATAGATCTCTTGAAAAGTATAGAAAGAATTTGTCTAGCAAGTTTAGTGTATCTGCTGTCTCAGTATTTTTCACCTGAACTCTTGTGTCGCATTTCTTGATCTAGTGTTTCACTCAAGTAGAATATCTACGTCACAATAATAATAGCATAGGTATTTTTTTTTTTAATGCCTACTACAGAATTGAGGACAGACTTGGCAGTGGCTTTATGTCCTGTCTGTGCAAGTCACAGAGTTACAGGTAGAGTTAATCTTGTCAAGAAACCATAAATATTTAGTAAATACCAAATGGAGTTTATAGTACAACTTGAAAAAGTAAGTTTATTTACAGTTACTAAAATATCTAGAGGTACTCTTTGAGTAACAGCTTGGGTTCTTGTACTCTCAGATTGCTCTGAAAGTAATTCTAACATAAACTTCATTTTGGCTTGTTACATCATTCTACTTTTAGGAATTCATTATTGCATCTTAGGAAACAGTATATACAGTCAAATATCAAGCCAGCCTGATTATGCCTAATTCATGTCTACAGGCAATAAATATTATAGTTCCCAGAAGAGAGGAGTAAAAACAGGAAATATTTTTACATTCATGGGAATCTGGGTAACTGTGGGGTTTGTGTGTTTCAATTTTTGGTTTTTGGCTTCATTTTTATGTACCTACATCTACATTGAGAATTGCTCTTCTAAATGATTAATCTCTTACACCTGGTTAATTCTACTCTTTACTATATAGTGGGCCAGAAAACATGCAGTATAGGTTTATTTCATGTATAATAGCTACTGCTTTCTTTGTGATGATACGGTTTATAAAGTAATAAATTTTAAGTCTATATAGCCAAAGGAATTATTAAGAAATTGTTAGAAAAGGCTGGGCGCAGTGGCTCACGCCTGTAACCCCAGCACTTTGGGGAGCTAAGGCGGGTGAATCACCTGAGGTCAGGAGTTCAAGACCAGCCTGGCCAACATGTTGAAATCCTGTCTCTACTAAAAATACAAAAACTAGCTGGGCGTGGTGGTGTGTGCCTGTAATCCCAGCTATTCGGGAGGCTGAGGCAGGGAGAATTGCTTGAACCCGGGAGGCGGAGGTTGCAGTGAGCCAAGATTGTGCCACTGCACTCCAGCCTGGGTGACAGAGCAAGACTCTGTCTCAAAATAAATAAATAAATAAATAAATAATTAGAAAACTAAAATATCCGTTCACCATCCTGATACTTTAATAGATATTATGTATTAAATATTTACTTTGTCTTAACTATAAACTAATTTATAGTTAAATTATAAAAAAAATTTTGCCTTAATTAGAAATCACTTATGTTATGTTATGTTATGTTATGTTATGTTATGTTATGTTATGTTATGTTATGTTATGTTATTTTTGAGACGGAGTTTCACTCTTGTTGCCCAGGCTGGAGTGCAATGGCACAATCTCGGCTCACCGCAACCTCTGCCTCCCAGGTTCAAGCAATTCTCCTGCCTCAGCCTCCATAGTAGCTGGGATTATAGGCATGTGCCACCACGCCCGGCTAATTTTGTATTTTTAGTAGAGACGGGGTTTCTCCATGTTGGTCAGGCTGGTCTCGAACTCCCGACCTCAGGTGATCCACCCACCTCGGCCTCCCAAAGTGCTGGGATTACAGGCGTGAGCCACCGCGCCCGGCAGAAATCACTTATTTTAATTTAAAAAATTGTAATTATAGAAGTTTGGGTTTTCAGTAATATTTGTATATATACACAGATTCTAATGTCTGCTTTTATTTTTCAGGATACTATTTTTGAGACAACAAATTAAGGAACTTGAAAAGCTAAAAAATCAGAATTCCTTCATGGTGTGAAGATGTGAATAATTGCACATGGTTTTGAGAACAGGAACTGTAAATCTGTTGCCCAGTCTTAACATTTTTGAGCTGCATTTAAGTAGACTTTGGACCGTTAAGGTGGGCAAAGGAAATGACAAGGGGATGGGGTCTGTGAGAGTCAATTCAGGGGAAAGATACAAGATTGATTTGTAAAACCCTTGAAATGTAGATTTCTTGTAGATGTATCCTTCACGTTGTAAATATGTTTTGTAGAGTGAAGCCATGGGAAGCCATGTGTAACAGAGCTTAGACATCCAAAACTAATCAATGCTGAGGTGGCTAAATACCTAGCCTTTTACATGTAAACCTGTCTGCAAAATTAGCTTTTTTTAAAAAAAAAAAATTGGGGGGGTTAATTTATCATTCAGAAATCTTGCATTTTCAAAAATTCAGTGCAAGCGCCAGGCGATCTGTGTCTAAGGATACGATTTTTGAACCATATGGGCAGTGTACAAAATATGAAACAACTGTTTCCACACTTGCACCTGATCAAGAGCAGTGCTTCTCCATTTGTTTTGCAGAGAAATGTTTTTCATTTCCCGTGTGTTCCATTTCCCTCTGAAATTCTGATTTTATCCATTTTTTTAAGGCTCCTCTTTATCTCCTTTCTTAAGGCACTGTTGCTATGGCACTTTTCTATAACCTTTTCATTCCTGTGTACAGTAGCTTAAAATTGCAGTGATTGAGCATAACCTACTTGTTTGTATAAATTATTGAAATCCATTTGCACCCCGTAAGAATGGACTTAAGAGTACTGCTGGACAGGCATGTGTGCTTAAAGTACATTGATTGCTCAAATATAAGGAAATGGCCCAATGAACATGGTTGTGGGAGGGGAAAGAGGAAACAGAGCTAGTCAGATGTGAATTGTATCTGTTGTAATAAACATGTTAAAACAAACAAAAATTGTTATTTTTCTTTTCCTTCGGTCAATGCACATTAGAATTTGAACTACCTGGGGATTCTTTATCCGAACTGTTCTTGTTGAATATTTATACTTTATTGAAATAATTCCTTAAGGGAGGTTTTGTTTAAAACGTATTAACAGGAAATTGTGTATAAGATATTTAATGAAATAAGAAATTCAACAAGAATGATTAAGTCACTTCCCAAGTGGTTGTCATTTGTTAAACCCTGGTTTACCTGTCTTGCTATTACATTTCATTTGGAAGGATGTTTGTGTTGTAGCTAACTGTTCAAGTCTGGTGCTGACTGCTGTTCTTAGCCATCACAAAACGCTAAATTTGTGTAATTGGAGCTTCCTGCTGTTATCTGAAAATAGCAGGAAAGCGCAGCTTTGTATATTGTTTCCTAAAGTATATTAAAATAAAAAAAGAAACTATTGCTACTATAAAATTACCTGACTTTTTTTTTCCTTTGCTAAAATATTAGTCACATGGCCTTAGCTTCACACTGCCAGTAATGTATCAAATCACAAGGGTTTCTGCATGAAAAAAAAAAAATCACCCACAAAAAATCTTTTACCCTCAAAATCTTGCCATCTGATTTAGAAAGGTGTTTTTTCTTTTCTTTTCTTTTTTTAATAGGTTTGGAGTTTTCTGGTGATTTTTTTTTTTTTTTTCTGTAGGGGAAGATAAGTGCTTCCAAAACTGCCAGCACCAAGGGCTTATTTTTTATGTTAGATATCAGTGTCAATGTTACTACATTCTCAGATGCTAACATAAATTTTGAAATTGTTCTTGTGCTTTAAGCATATATTTAAAGTATGGAAGTTAAATGTTGAGGCTTTTCAGTAACTCAAAAAGTTAACTGCAAGCGATAGTGTTGGTGTTTTCTAAAATACAAAAATGTTCCAGTGTAATTAAAAGGAATTAAAATCTTATACTGGAAGCTGATATTTTCCTATAATTTAAGAGTACTTTGTAAGACAAATGTCATTAATTTATTGTCATGTTCATACCTCTGTGAGATTGTTAACATATGCTGAATTGAATTAGTGCATGTAAATGAAACCCCAAAGAGCTGTGTTAAGCTAGAAACCTTATTGTATCTTTTCTGGAAAGAAGTGAGCAGCTTGTTGTAATAGGCAAATGTTTCCTGATCAAATGGCAATGTGATTTAGGTAAATTTGAATTTGATTTGCTAATAGTCTACTGGTCTGTGTAGCTATGTTTTTTTTTTTTTTTTTTTAAGTTTACATCCCTAAATGTATTAGTCACATAGATTTAGGAGAAAACGCCTAATTTGACATTTCTTAGTAGTGAATTATTATTGTTGTTTGAGACAGAGTTTCGCTCTTGTTGCCCAGGCTGATCTCGGCTCACTGCAACCTCCGCCTCCTGGGTTCAAGCGATTCTCCTGTCTCAGCATTCCGAGTAGCTGGGATTACAGGCATGTACCACCACACCTGGCTAATACTGTATTTTTAGTAGAGGTGGGGTTTTTCCATGTTGGTCAGGCTGGTCTCGAACTCCCAACCTCAGGCGATCTGCCTGCCTTGGCCTCCCAAAGTGCTGGGATTACAGGCGTGAGCCACTGCGCCTGGCCAGTAGTGAATTTTTAAACACAGAAAACAAAATTTGGTGGAAATATTTTAAATGTTGCACCTTAATACAGACATGGTATCCAGCTCCTAACCTTAACTAGGGAATAGGAATAACTATTAAAACAAGCATAATGTTCTGGACTGGAATTTCCTTATCTAGTTGGCCATGGATTTCAACATGTACCTTGGTTCAGATAATTAGAAATACTGAATAGCCTCTAGGGAACTTCTTGAGTGGTTTTTTTTTCCTCCCGTTTTGAAAGATTAGTAGTCTCTAGTCAAACTTCTAAAATGTCGTGGTATTGTAACAATATGTTTGATGAAAGAAGATTAGAGACTCCCCTGAAGATCCAGCTTTCCTACGCTTATTTCTCTAACTTGTCTAACCTGATTTTAAAGCGACTGTAATTCCAGACTGAAAACATGTTTCAGCCCTGTTTCAAGACATTATGCTTCTTTTAACAGCCCAAATGAGTAGTTTTATTTTTCTTCTAAATCTTAACGTTTCACACTTCTAAAATCTTGGGAAGGAGGTTCTTGAAACTTTGCCAGGAATTGTTACCCATTTCCAAAACAGTTTATTATGTTCAAAAACCACCGTGTCTTTGAGGAACTGTTTTAAAGGGGAGAAGGCAATGCGGGAAATAATTCACTCTGCGCACCGGAACTGTTGTAGTTCAGGACTTCCAGCTACTGTATTTAGATGTTGGGTTTGAATATACAGATTTCTTTTCAATACCTGTAAATACAGCTATATTCTTGTATTTGTACGGGAGTGTACAAAATGACACTGAAAAGTAATAAATATGTTTTGACTATATTGTGCAGTTATTTCAGAACTGTTTTGAAAGTCTTAGAATGCATAATTTGTATTTGAGTAAGGAAATTTAAAATACAGATTACTGCTAAAATTTTAATCAGTCGGTGTGTTTCAATAGTCTCTGAAACATGTTAGTGAAAATTGTGGCATAAAGTTGGGACTCTTTAGGTCCTGCTCTAATTTGCGGTACCCTCCTTTTCCTGATCATGACCTTTGATAGTGCCCTGATGTGCAGCCTGCCTGGATGATCTCATCTAGGCTCTTGGCTCTAAAAATCCCATTCGTGTGCTACTTTATACTTTACATCCAGATTATCTCCAGCCCTGATCTCTTTGAGTTCCCAAAAACAGTCCACTTAGATGCTTTCCTTAACACGGCATGTGCGTCAAAAAGAACTCATGGTTTGTGCTTAGATTATTGTCGACTTTGTTTTTTAGTGATTGACACTGTCATTGTTAAAGTTGCCCAAAACCCAAATCAGGTCATCCTTTATTTTTTTTTTACACTCCATATTTAATCCATCAAGACCCACAAAGCTGTCTTTGAAAGTTTCCTTAATGTTTACCTCTGTAGTCCAATCCACGATCATTGAAGCAACTCCCTGCCACAACCTCCTAACCTTTCTGCTTCTACTCAGATCTTCCAAGGTTCTCTCCACCCCACCTTCACACATACACAATCTATTCTCCAGCCAACAGAGTGAAATGTAGACACCAGGCCGTTCTGTACGTAATCCTGCAATGATTCATACTCAGAACAATACCCAGAGCTCATACCATGGCTTGCACGTTCAAGCCCCCGATTATTGCCACGTTTTCATCACTGCAGTCTCTTGCGGGTTTGCATTTCTTCTGCCTAGAAAGCTCGTGATAGAAATCGGTACAGCTTGCTGCCTCTTATCAGTCTCCTTAAAGAAGCCTTTCCTGGGCCAGGTACAGTGGCTTACCCTTGTAATCCTAGCACTTGGGAGGACAAGGTGGAAGGATTGCTTGAGCTCGAGTTCGAGACCAGCCTTAGTGAGACTTTTTTTTGGGTTTTCTTTGCCTTTCTTGATGGCTCAGACCATCTAAAAGCACCCTCCATCACTCTTTCTTCACTGACGTTTTCTTCAAAACAACACCAGATGTGTTGAGTGAACTGTGAATGTTTATAAAGGGCTTTGGACAGAATCCGAACCTGTGAAGATTGTTAAGACGATGGGTTAGATGGAAGGAGTTTGCTTTTTTCTATCAGTTTTTGAATGTTGGGTCGCCCCCCCCTCACCTTGAGAGGATGGGACCAAAGGGGATACAGCGTTAGCAAGTAGCATTTTTTTAAAAAAATGATTACAATTGGTCACCAAAACCTAACTGCAAACCTGTCCTAAATTGTTAGCATTAATGAAATGTAGTCTCTAAGCAAGGGTAACCAACTGAACCAGTAATCATAGCCTCTTAGGAACACATTTTAGGAGTAAAGCCAATGAGAAACGAGATGATGCTTCTGATGTGCCAATCTTGGGGAGATGGACTGGTAGGAAGTGACCCTGCTTCTAAGGCCAGGATTGGGTGAGGCATGGGGATTGGGGATTGTCCTGGTTTCACTAGGTAGGACTGAAACTGGTTCAGAAGATGCCTTGACATCCAACTAGCCCCTTTTGGCTTTTAGAACAGGAACCAGGCACTTACCACATTCTAAGCTGTGTCACTAATAGAACATCTGTACTACCCATATCCATCTTAAAAGGCTAGGATGTAAGAATTGCCTGCCTTTGCAATGGATGGGAAGATTAAGATTGAATAGGTACTTCATGCCACTGTTTTCCCCATAAATAAGCTTCCTTTTTTAAGGTGCCTTCTGTTAATTGCCCAATTTGGTCAGCGTATGTAAGTGTGCTAGTATGAAATGTTTCTTACACTTTTAAGTAGTTCAAAGGCTTTATCTTGGGACAACAGAATGTATGGACAGTGATTTTTGTCATTTTTGTGTCTTATGTATCCCCATCACCTAGAAGAATCAACACATGTTGGAGAATCAACAGATATTTGTCAATAAGTCTTTTAAAGTTCATGTTTTGCCCCACATTTTGATGCCTTAACATTTTATTACCTTTATAAACTGTTAAAGTGATAAACTGAAAATACTACCATGGTTGGTGAGGGCTCACTTTTAAAATGTCAGAGTAGTTTCAGGCTCCACTTGTCTGTATCTGTTTCACAAGCACAAGAGTTCCAAAGATACTATCTAAAATACAGTGGTATGAAAAATGCTCAATACCATTAATCAGGGAAATGGAAATCAAAACCACGAGATATCAACTCCGCTTTTGACTATTACCAGATGAAAAATATGCTGGCAAGGATTGGAGAAAAGGGAACTCAATCACTGTTGGTGGGAATGTGATGCTAGTACAGCCATTATGGAGAGCAGTATGGAGTTTCCTTAAGAAACTACAAATAGGGCCAGGCACAGTGGTGCATGCCTGTAATCTCAGCTACTCCGGAGGCTAAGGCAAGAGAATCACTTGAAGCCGGGAGGCGAAGATTGCAGTGGGCTAAGATCACGCCACTGCACTCCAGCCTGGGCGAAACAGCAAGTCACTGTCTTAAACAAATAAAAAACAGTACAAATAGAATGACCTATGATCCAGCAATTCCATTAGCAGCATTTCCTATATCTAAAGAAAAGCATATGTCAAAGAGATATCTGCAACCCCATGTTTATTGCAGCAAGCACTATTCACAATAGCCAAGATAGGGAATCGAGTGTCTATCAGTGGATGGATAAAAGTGTGGTACGTATACACAATGGAATACTATTTGGCCGTTAAGAAAATGAAAGGCTGTCATTCCCTGGAGGACATTATGTTAAGTGAAATAAGCCAGGAACAGATACTTCTCATATGCAGAACCTAAACAAGTTGATATCATAGAAATAGAAAGTGGTTACTAGAGGCTGGGAAGGGGAGAGGGAATGGGAGAAGATTAATGGAAGGATAAAATACCAAGGGAAATAAAGTATTCTATAGCACTGTAGACTTTTTTTATATGGTGTTAATTTTATATATATATATATATATATATATATATATATATATATTTGAGATGGGAGTCTCATTCTGTTGCCCAGGCTGGAGTACAGCCTGGGCTCACTGCAACCTCTGCTTCCGAGGTTCAAGCTCACTGCAACCATCTCAGGTCATTGCACCTGCACCTCCCAGGTTCAAGCAATTCTGCCTCAGCCTCCTGAGTAGCCAGGATTACAGGTACCCACCATTATGCCCAGCTAAATTTTTGTGATCTGTAGAGATGGAGTTTCACCGTGTTGGTCAGGCTGGTCTTGAACTCCTGACCTCAGGTGATCCACCCGCCTTGGCCTACCAAAGTGCTGGGATTACAGGTGTGAGCCACCGCGCCCAGCCGAGGGTCCTCTTTTAAATGTGCAAAAAACTATTTCCAGTTTGAACACAGTGTGAATTGCCTTCAAGAAATCTCACAGGTATGAGGTCATATGGTGGAGCCCTGCAGGCAGCCCTGGGACAAAAAGATGCAGATCTGGGGAAAGAGAGGCTTCATTACAAAATCCTTTTCACTGCTTTCCTCAGTGGGGTTTCCATTATGTGAATGAATTGCAAAATTTTTTCAACATTTACTTTGGTTAAATGCATGTCTCCTAGAAGAATTTGTCAGATGACTGGAGCGATTAACTTCAGAAATGGTGGCACTCTCTGGTTCCCACAATCCTGGTGAGATCTTTTCATTCTACTTCTTCCACACACACCCATTCCCCTCTGCCCTAACCCCTCAAGACAAGATATCAACTAGCACTTTGGGAACTTTAATCGAGTCTCTTCACCTATTGTTATTTTCCATGTGGGCTTTGCTAGGAGCTAGCATTTCCTGCTTTAGTGTAAAAACACAAAAGTGTTAGAAAAGCTGCTGGTAGAGAATGAAGGTGAGAACCTAGGAAGAGAAATGTGTCTGTGTCCAGCACTAGAGGAAGGAACTGAGCTGTTCCCATGTAGTTGAACCAGGAAAGAGGAAAACTGTGCCTGGGGACAAGGTCAGCGCAAACTGCAGAGCAAATGCCAAGCCTTTGCATTGATGCCTTGGCAGTCATTCGTCGTGGGGACCCCCTTGTCTGCATCCTCTCTGCTTCCAAAGAATCACTGATGGTGGTCATAATAGGAGGTTCTTGCTGCAAATCACTCTGGTGCATTGCATTTGATGCCGTGTAAACTTTACCATGTTTTGTTTGGTTGGGGCCACTGAGCTTCTCAGGCAGGGGAAGACTGCATATCTCCAAGAAGGTTTAATGCTACCATTGGGGTTCTTGGCTGGAATCCATCCCACATCATTCAGCTTGCTTGTTAGCACCAGGCAGCGCCTAGGAGTCCCACTCATATGGAAGGGCACTCATGTCAGCTTTCCTAAGTGTGGATGTTTGACATTCCAGCTGTCTTTCCTCTGTCCTCACTCAACAGTGATGCTGTGACTTCTTATTTTGAAAAATATCAAATGTATAAAAAGTTGAAAGAACTTATACAGTGAGCACCTACTCGTATATTCCTCATTGAGATTCAGTGATTAACGTGGTCCTATTTCTCTACCTCTTTCTCTGTCTCTGTATGCTCTCTTGTTTGAACCATTTGAAAGCCAATTGCAGACATGGTGGGACGTATCCCTGCACACTTCAGTGTGACTCTCCTAAGAATAAGGCTGTTATCCTACATAACTATAATAGGCTGGGCATAGTAGCTCACACCTGTAATCACAGCATTTTGGGAGGCCAAAGCAGGCAGATCACTTGAGGTCAGGGTTCGAGACCAGACTGGGCAACATGGCAAAACCCTGTCTCTACTGAAAATACAAAAATTAGCCAGGCATGGCGGTGCATGCCTGTAGTCCCCGCCACTCGCGAGACTGAGGCACAAGAATCGCTTGAACCTGGGAGGTGGAGGTTGCAGTGAGCCGAGATCGCCCCATTGCATTCCAGCCTGAGTGACAGAGCGAGACAGTCTCAAAAAAAAAAAAAAAAATACTGTCATCACAAAAGCAAACACAATTTGATGGAATTTGGGGATAGGAATAATTAGAGAAATATCCCTATGGA